CATCTCCTCACGCTTAGACTAGTGTAACTCTCTTTTCACGTGTCTGAGCAGAACCTCCCTGAACCGTCTACAGGTGGTTCAGAATGCCTGTGCTCGGCTTCTGACCAAGTCCTCCAAACACACCCACATCACCCCGCTTCTCCTCCAGCTTCACTGGCTGACAGTTAACTTCAGGGTTTGTTTTAAGATCCTGGTTCTGGTCTATAGGGCCTTACATGGACAAGCACCATCTTACATTGGTGATCTTCTCAGTCCCTACACCCCCAGCAGGTCCCTGAGGTCCAGTGATCAAAGCCTACTGGTTGTGCAACGCACCAGGCTAAAGACCAAAGGTGACAGATCATTTGCTGCTGTGGCCCCCAGACTCTGGAACTCTCTCCCCCTGAGCCTGAGATCAGTGGACTCAGTGGTCTCCTTTAAAAAGCAGCTGAAGACTCACTTGTTCAAGATGGCTTTTGCGTGACCTTCATCACCACCCTCTCATTCTGTTCTTATTCTGCAGGAAATAGGAGTAGAAGACCATTTTCACGTTCAGCCTGAATGTTAAACTCAAAGAAACTGAAAAACAACAAGAAAAAAACGGTTGTTTAAATAAATTGTCTTACTTTTAAGTTCTGTAGATTTTGTAGCTTAAAATAAAACTCATCCAATTGCAAATGTTGCAGGCCGCGTTCTACCGGGAAAGAAACCCTAGACAAACATCCTCTTAAGTGCCCCAGAGGTATCTGAAACCTGTCTTAAAGTGTGGGAAGGATAAAACTAACTCTTGAGGGGAGTTGGCAAAGAAACTATAAATAAAATTTTGTAAAAATGCAAACAAATCTACATAAATAAGACACTTTAAAATTAAATGTGCCAACAACATTTGCATAACTGTCACAACCTGTTTGTAATGACGCCACATGTCCCTCTTGGCCTGGCTAGAGTACGTGTCATAAATTTGAGCCAATTCCAAATGAACATTTGCATATTTTCTTATACTTTGTTTCTGTCTCTAAAGAGCTCTGAGTCAAATATTTGGTTAATCTCTCATGAGTTACGGAGTTAATTAAGGGAAAAAAATGATAAGTGGAATTCAAAAGAAGAGCTGAGAGAACTAAACATTACCTAAATCCAATTAAAATGTTTAGTATAGATCTGACATCATCTTTGGATGATTCAATCAAAGATCTGATTGAAAATAAACTGTTTTCCAGGACTCTTAAATGCATTTATTAGTTTTTCTCCCAGTTTGGTTTAGAACATGCACAATAGAGACTGTAATCAGATGACCTGAAGGTCAAAAGGTGATATAGAGTAAGGACTTAACAATACACCTACACTCATCTCACATCCCTACCCTCACCTATGATCACGGGCTTTGGGTAGTACCCGAAAGAACGTGATAGCAGATACAAATGGCCGAATAGAGTTTCTCCGCAGGGTGCCTGGGCTCTGACTCAGAGATAGGGTGAGAAGCTTGGTGCTCAGAGTAGACCCACTGTTCCTCCACATCAAGAAAAGCCAGTTGAGGTGACATCCATTTAGGATGCCTCCTGGACGCCTCCCTGGTGAGATTGTACAGGACGCGCTGGAGGGACTATGTTTCTCAGCTGGCTAGGGAACGCCTTGGGATTCCCCCGGAGGAGCTGGCCCAAGTGTCTGGGGAGAAGGAAGTCTTATGGGCTCGACACACGGGAGGCGACATCGCCTCTCCTCCATTCGTTTTCTATAAGACATGCGCGACAAAGCGATAATCGCGGGTCTCCCTCCTACCAAGCGAAACGCGAAAAACGTGCGTGTGAAATTTTGCGCTCGTGCACGTGTCGTACACAGGCGACCCAGCGACGCGATCCCAGAAAGTTGAAACATTTTCAACTTTTCATCGCTGTCGCTCGGACGAGGACCAATCAACGGAGGTTTCATTCACTGACCAATGAGCGGACAGGATGCTCCGTACACCTCCGAGCAAACATGAAGGAGAAGTTGATAATTATTGTTTTAAATAGTAAAATCAGAAGTAAGATTTCACATAACTCTAGCAGCACCTTGTGAAACATCATATCTACCGCTTTATTAACTCTGAACCGCTTAAATAACCTTAATTCCCTCCAACCTGACACAGCCAAACAAAACAACGGAAGTTTCGATTTCGCCATGGAACAGAACGCGTAGACGGCTTTGCCGCTGGCCGCTGCCACGGATCGCCTCCCGTGTGTCAGGTAATAAAAACAACAGCGACAAATTTCGCTGATCGCTGATCACCTCCCATGTGTCAAGCCAATTAGGCTTAGGCTACAGCCCCCGACAGCCGATTCCGGTGTACATGTTACGATTTAACGCCGTTTGCTGTCAGCTTTGTTAGATCATGAGAAAGATCATCAAATTAGCATATGAAGCTTATATCATGTATAAATATCCAGGATATTTATACATTCGATATAAGTTCATACACCAACTGGCTGGGTCTATATTTAATCCAAAGATTAATATTTAATTTAAGAAATTGTATTAATAGCAA